TACTTGCGAAACTAATGAAAACCAAAGAGTTTCACTGTACCATATCCTGCAATTAAAAAATAGCATTTCGTTTAGGGATCAGTGAATAAATCTTTGGTAATCAGGCTTCCATTCAAGCCGTAGCGAAGTTTAGAATATGTGTAACATTATAATTAATTACACAAAAAGTTTGCATTAATAACATTTGCATATAAAATGCATATGTGTGAAATATATACAGCGTTTATCGAAAGAGGTTTCTGAAATACATAACGTTAACGATAAGGAGCTTAGCTATCGCTAACCCGATTAAGGTGACTCATCGTTAGTAGAATAAATAAACGTGATTCTATAAATATGTTCACACTGATATTTATATTTTTTGCTCTAAATGGTTTTGATAAATACGAAACATACTTAACGCGTCAGTTCATTTTTCATCTCATTGCCAGCTGATTATCATCTAATTTAATTACGTAGTTGTTGTTGTACAAAAATTAAAATTTTTATTAGAGCATAGAAAACGTTATGAAATATGCAAATATATTTAGAAACAATATTCTAATCATTCTAATTAATGTTCAGTGGCACAAGACTAAACTTATTCTTTTTTGAAGCCAACACATACATAAGTATAATCTGCGTATTTGTTAAGATGTAGGATTAGTCATATAACGATGAGATCAGTGTGCATTCTTAGGAAAAAATCTTATCGATATCTTAAAAACATGACAAATCAAGTATTTTTCTATGTTTTCTTTTATCTACTGTTTCTTTTATTAACTAATTGACATTCTCTTTATTTTCACTTACTAAAAATAATCGTAAAATTGCTTCTATATGATTACCAGCTATTGTATTCTAGCCTTAATTTACAAACTTAATTTACTCATTATCCCCACTGGTGTTGAAAAGTAGATTGTAAATATACAAATAAATTTAAACAAATTTGCCAAAACGAAGGAGTTATAATTCTTTCAATTGATCAATATTAATCTCTAAGTAAAAATTACAATTAAAATCACGCTTAAAAGCAGTTCAGAACAAATTTAATGTACGCTAGCTAACATAGTTACTTAATATATCGTAACTCTACCATTCACCGTTAACAGTTAGTTATGTAATCCTAGCGAATCATTCAGTGTAAACGTAATGCAAGGTGCAAGTAATTGTTTGCTATAGTGAATAATTGTTTAGCACGAAAACGTCTCGAACGCAAAAGAAATCTCAAAATTTATCTGTAGACAAAAGAAACATGACGTCGAAGAAGAAATGAACAAGAATGGGAAATATGAGGCTAAAAAGCTTCCTGAAAATCACCTATAAGCAGATTTTAGCCATTAACCTAGCATCTCCGAAATGGTATCCATGGTAATACGTCGTTCACATCGTTAAAGTGGCGTCTTCGAAACGCTGTAAAGTGTTCTCGTTAATTATGAATAATATGATTACGCAATTCTTCCCATGGTTTCCCTTTTGTGAGACCCGGCTTCAATACATAGACAACCGGGAACTCGGCAATGATTCACAGAGAGCAGAAGAAGCGCGCGAACGAAATTCCGATAGTTGAAAATTCAACATGTATGCAAAACAACAATGTAATTTATGCGCTAATCGAATATTTCCATATAGTGAGAGTTGTTCAAAACGTACTGCAAACGATGTTTTACTAATAACGATGAATGACTAATAACTGCTCGCTTAAAATATATAAACAACATGAATATTCAAGTGATAAGACAATAAAATTGGATTCCAATACATTTTTTGTAGCAAAAAGAACCTTTTGAAACATCTTTTGTTTAATTTATATCAAGTTGTGCAACGGACCAATGTGTGATTCGTAAAATATTTTAACAGCTGTCTCAAGCCAAACACTCACTATCCTGTTACCACTAATAAAATTATAAAATATACCGTGAAAGAAGAGCAAGCAATATTTTGACGAATCGATCAAAGTACGTAACGAAAGAAATAATCCCTAACATTGTTCCCACATTATTCTATTAAAGGTTGTTACAGAATTCAAGTTAATAAATTCCTTTAACTTACCTGATACCTGTCCTCGTAAAAAATCGATGCGTTCAACAGAGGTCCCACTGATTCATCGCTGGTTCTGTTTGTAATAGTGTATCCTTTCTATGGTATACGCTTGCGTTTTTTCTAAAAATGCACAATTAAGAGCAAAATTTCACTATACACGAGTGAAGACCTGACAGAGCCACTGCGATAGCAGGGAATACGATCAGGTACCATCTGTTTAGACCGACCGAGCGGGTCCGGACGACTGAACGTGCCTCTCGTTGCGCCTTCACCGACAGCCTCGATTCCTACCTTCTCTTTCTCTTTTTCTCTCTCCCCATTGTAGAGTGTATCTCCCTTTCCCTCTATATAAACAGAAATTGTACAGAAATTGTATAATTTGATTTTAAATAAGAATTAGAATTTTACGTTACGATCTTTCTTGATAAATTGGTATGATATATGGATACCAAAGAATCATTTAAATATTGTAATCTCATTGGATTGTCTAAATATATGTAACTTTTGTTTTCAACAAATATTTGAACATATGGGCATTCTTGGTTAGACCATTATATTGTTTAATCAGATGGATAATGTCGATCACATCTTTTTTCGATGGATACAGATTTGCTATTATGGCAGTATAGTTTATTCGTTTGTCGTGTAATAAATTTTATTTAGCCTAAAGGACTTTCTGTTTGAATCGCTTTTTTTTAACAAATATTCGTCTCAATTATTGAATTTTCAAATTTTTGGATTTTTCAAGTGTAAGCAAAAATTTTCGTCAAATAGTCTTTATCATAATTAGATAATGGATATTTGACTCAACTATCCATAATAGATATATTTTTTCAAAAGTTACAGTCTTCGACATGATGTAGAACATGACTATCTTCATTTCCGTTATTCTTTCCTCTATTTATAAGTTATTGTACAGAGTAAAGCTATGCAGCGATGCCGTATAGGCGTGGAATTGACAGTGAGCAGGAAAGGGGAATAGTTATCCTTCTTATCCAAGTTGTATGAGGAAAGGCATATGAGAAAAGATTTGTGACATTTAAATATTTTACTTGATAAAATTTAATAAGCGCGCGACATTTAAATTCATGTCGAAGATCGTTAATACATTGATAAAAAGATATCTATAGATTATAATTATTGAAATTTGATCAGCGGTTGTTACCTTTTTCAATTATTATCACAAATTAAAATTGTTTCTCTTAAAATAGATACCGGAGTATTTCTTCTATTAATGAAAATTAACGACACTGTATAAATACATAGATTTTAATCCTTAAAAACGTGAATATTAAGGAGTTTTATTTTCTATACCTTTGACACACATAAACAGAAAAAATACTTTATTCCTTTTGTAAATATATTTTTGTTACATTTGTACTTGTTCGTACCCGCTTCATGCAAATGTGGGGACCGACACCGACATTGAACGGTTGACATTGAGCGCCGGAAACGATCATTAAGCTCAATATCAGCGTACACAACGATCGGGAGTAGAGTGTCACTAACCCCGATAATACAGTGATTATACCCCGCTTAAATACAAAACATTTTACGTATGTATTTTCTAACACGATAGATAGTTGAACATGCAGATATGTTGAAATTATGCGTTTGGTTTGGATTACGTTTGAGTTAGGTTTAGATTGAATGTAAATGACAATAATAAAGCAGAGAGTAAACACAAAGTAATATCATACAGGAAATTATAAAAATAATCGTTATCACAACTAATATAACTTTTTCTAGCTTGCGTATTTCCTATTCTATAATTTACAATCATGGCAGTTTAGATACTTTACTAGTTTTTTCTACACCAATCACAATATATTGATATTTCTGAATTTACCAAGGTAACCGTTCGTACAAAGCTACGCATCATCGAGTGATGCGGATACATAGTATACGGTATACGTGAGAACACGTATCATTTTATTGGTACTTTCGAGGACACGTATAGTTTAACTGTAAAAGTTAATGTTTCGTTGTGAAACGACAACGCAAGCCTCACAGGCTGTAATTTTCGTTTCGCTCCATTGTTCACGAGCAATAAAAAATAATCGTTACCGTGTTACTGGTTCTATATGCACATTTACAAGAACAGAGGGTGACGAGCATTTTTCTTTCATTGTTCTGGTTAAATATTAGCGTCTTTCCCTTTATCGAAGAGGGCCAACAGACATTGCTTGCTAATATAGTATGTATATATCTATATGATACATATGAAAATCTCTGGTGTTTTAACATTAATAGGTAGATATTAGTTTCGTGGTTAGAAAAAGCACATCTGATAAAATAGAAATATATCAGAACGCAGTAGTTCAGTTACATCTGCCACGAATGTTATTTTATGTTGCTATTAGGTAATTAAAATATTAGTATTTTGCATTATGTGAATTCTTCACGAGAGCAATTAAGTGCCATATACGCAAATATTGCGATCTAATAAAATAGTACCAGGGTTGCTACATTAATTACAATACAAAAAGATGTGCACTTTAACCGGGTTATGCTATTTTATTGTTTGATAAATATTCGAAATTCACTGTTTACAGTGCATGGAAGAAGTTGATTTAACCGGAGGATTTATTGTTGGTGAGGTTATTATCATATATATAATCATTAATAGTTGAAAATAGTAAAATTTGTTTTAAACTATTTGACGTTGTATTTCATAAACAGAATAATTTAAGAAAACGTATTCAGTTTTTATTGTTCATTAAAATTTATTTGAGGAATCGGAGGAAACGAACAAACTTTTGCGCGCGGGCATGCAAGGCTCATGACAAGATATTACATATGTATATATACATATGTACGTGGATGGGTTTTTGAACCCAGCAGCAAGTTTTACAGAAAACTTGACATAACGATGGTAAACGAAACTACCGATATTACCGACCGAATGACAGGATCTCTCTGTCTGAGTCGAGTGAGCATTCTAAACAATTGTAATACGCGGTGCGCGATTCGCATCCTAGGCTCGATGAGTGTTGAGAGTTGAGAGGGCCTTGATCGAGCTGTGATAAGTTTCTTTCCGAAAACATTAGCGCCGAGGTAAATGTATCGCAGAAACAACGAACTACGTTGAGTACGATAGTGTTACGCATAACGTATAGAGGCTTGTTTTTAATTGTGTATAATACAAGCGTAATAGAAACAGATAATACTAGTGGAACAAAATAACAACGTTCGTAAAGATTGGCCATCTTGAAAAGATATGTCATATTTTTTAAAACGTCAACAATATAGTGTGTATTGTTCAATACATGCCGCCAGATTGCTTTAACTACGGTTGACTACACACCTAATCATCGGAAGTAAAGGCGACACGGTGGCGTATTTGACACGCGGACGTAATCGTAAAAGAAGCACAGCTTCGTCAAATAATGAATCGCACTGACGGATTGGTACAACGACGACGTGTTGTTAACAGCAGTAGTGGTAGTAGTCTAGGCCAGGATGGCTCTAATGATATTAGCCATAATGATAAATTATCTGGTCATGGCATGGATACAGACTGTACCATGCAAAAAGATCTTAATTCAAATCCCAAGATCGACGAATCCCAAGATTCTGATAAGGAAACCAGATTGACACTCATGGAGGAAGTTTTATTACTTGGCCTGAAAGACAAGGAGGTTTGTTGATATTATTGTCAACTCTGTAGTTAATTTCTTTGCTGTCATGCATAGTAAAATGTATTATGAATCAATACCTGAGTTTTAAAACATATATTTTCTTATAGGGTTACACATCATTTTGGAATGATTGCATAAGTTCCGGATTACGTGGTTGTATTTTGGCAGAACTTGGATTTCGTGGTCGAGTAGAATTAGAAAAAGCTGGTATGCGCAAAAAGGGACTATTGGTGAGGAAACTTCTACTGAAAAATGATGCTCCTACAGGAGATGTTCTGTTAGACGAAGCTTTAAAACACCTAAAAGAAACTGATCCACCTGAAACTGTTCCTAGTTGGATTGAATACCTCAGTGGTTAGTTAAGCATGAAAGTATACTTATTTGATAACAAATTTTTTATAATATACTCCTATAATAGTTTAAATATCTTTCCTTATTTAGGAGAAACATGGAATCCACTCAAATTAAGATATCAGTTGAAAAATGTTAGAGAAAGATTAGCTAAAAATCTTGTTGAGAAAGGAGTTTTGACAACTGAAAAACAGAATTTCTTACTCTTTGATATGACAACTCATCCTCTTACTGATAATCTTGCCAAAAGTCGACTTGTAAAAAAGGTAAATTCTTGTTGTATTATTTTTTAGTTTACTCATTATATCTGTAATTTAAGTTTCAGTTTTAGTCACTGATTATGTCTTTGGTTCACTCATTATATTTAAGTGAAAGTAACATCGTATTACCTATATATAAATTGATATATACATAAAAGTGTAAGCATAATTAGATTGTATGAATCTTGTTTAAAAGATTGTTGAAATTAAAAAATTATAATGACAGGGAAGTTATATATAAAGAATGTATTTTTTATATCTCTCAGATTCAAGAAGCCGTGTTAAGTCGCTGGGTCAATGATGCTGGCCGTATGGATAGGCGAACATTAGCTTTAGTTATTTTAGCTCATGCAGCTGATGTATTAGAAAATGCGTTTGCACCTCTCTCAGATGACGACTATGAACTAGCGATGCGACGAGTGCGAACATTATTGGACCTTGACTTTGAAGCAGAAGCTGCTAAACCTAATGCTAATCCAGTTCTTTGGGCGGTATTTGCTGCATTCACTAAGTAACAATTCTTTCACAAATTACAAGTGTATAAAGCAAATATTGGATACTAGTATGAATACTTGGGACTATCAAATTTACAGAAATTTTTGTTGCAATCTGAAATGGAGTAGCTGCAAGTGTTATTAATGATCATACAATTCAGACCAAATACCTTGAACCCAACTGTGTAAAGCAGACTTAGAATATTAGTCATTTCCATTACTGTTATTTAATACATTTGATAGCTGAATTATGAATGTTCATATTTAAATATTATAAAGAGCAAAAAAGAATAACAAAATTTAAGGTATGAATGAGTACTTTGCGTGTGGGGTAGTGCCATGTCAGCTCAGGAACAAAAGATTGCACTGTGCTGAGTTTTGTCCCATATCTTCTCTGTGTCTATTATCTGAACATGGACTGCAAATACATATGTTTACAGACGCGACAATTATATGGCAGACATTTAATGTTGGATCAAATGTCACATTTCTGATAGTTGTCTAAATGTGAAAGCAATGAAAGTAATTCTTTGCACAGTGGTGACGAATTTTTATCGTTTCTTTATGTCTTCTTTATAGAAAACTGGATTATAGTAGGTTTATATTTCCAAAATTTGTTTTTATTTTTTTTTAACTAGTGTATATTTATAGTTTCACTAGGTGGCAGTAAAGTACTCAGATGTCAAAAATAGTTTATGAAAGTCATTTCTATCCCACTTAAATCTTTCTCGATGTATCGCTATGATCTATGATGAAATGTAACGCGGGAATAGTTGGAGGTAGCAAACGAATATGTCGAAGCTATTATGTTCTTAATTAATACGCGATACGCACGTATGTTCCCAAAAAATTTTGTTGTTAACTTATCGTATATATGTTACTGTTGTTAACATTATACGATGTGATATGATACGATGTAAGTAGAAAAAAAATAAAGTGGGGATTGTCTGTTATAATTAGTGTATCAAGGCAAACGAAATTAAAGACGAATAAGGGATTTTCAAAAATTATAATTGTTACTAATGTCAGTAACATATACTATCGTCTTTTACAAATCTTTAAATGTGTATAGGGTGATCAAGAAATATTTAATCTTTCTTTGGAATGTTTGTATAATAGTAATAATTTATTTCTTGGACATTTAAATATTTTCTAGCAACATTTGAATGATCAATGTATGAGAAACGATTCAATTATTTTACTTTTTTATCTATTTTTTTATACATCTTAAATTACATCGATTACTAAAATCGTAAATTTGTGCAATTGCTTAATAGTTGGTCTCAAATCTTCGTTCATTACGAAAATCGAATATTTGTGATAAGTTTAGTATGTATTTAACAATGGCATTTCTGAGTATTTAGTTCACAAATTATATTTGTGGAAATATATTGATCTTTTAAATGGAAGGTATATTGTTATTTTTGACAATGTTTAAACTGATCATATTGATTTGAATATATAAGTTTTATATTATTACCTTTTATTTAAAAACTATAAAAATTTTAGGCTCATATATTTTAAATACACATAAGAGTCAGTTTCAGTATCTGCATTAGAACAGATTAATCAGTTTCAAATGTATTTGTACCTTTTATGGTTATAATAGTAGTTGAAAATTTCGTACTTGTAGGATTAGAACTTTACCATTAATTTAACTAATTTAATAATATATCTTTTTAGTTTAAAGCAGCATGTTATGTTATCTTTGTTTGATTAATATTTCTTGGAACATCCTGTATGTATTCAACTGAATTTGTTCATAATGTTGAGGGGTTCCCTACATAAGTTTGTATAACATGAAATTATTTTATGTGTTTAGATAATATGTATTATAGAACAATAAACTTATTTTTGTTTATACATACATATATTGACATACATTTTGGAAATAATAAATAAGAGCAAAAGAAATAGATATTCTAAAATCTTTTAATATTGCTGCCTTAGTATTATAAAATTAAAAACATATATAGATTTTTTTATGTTACTGCAATATTGGAATACTATTATACTGCATCCCAAATAACATAAATATTTATTGAAAGAGATTTAAAAAGTATGAGCTATTGTTAAATTTCTTGTAATACAGCAAAATAGTCAATAAATATCATAATTTTATACCTGTATATTATTAAAGAATTTGTTTGAAAAGATAATTTAAATTGTCTTAAAAAAGAGCTTGCTGGACAAATGCATTTCATAAATATTAAGCATTTTTAGCATTTATTATTGCAATGTTACTGATAGTAAGGTAACTAATTTCTATAAATTCAAATTGATGTTATTCATGAATATTACATATTGATGGGTACATGCAAATTAAAATACTTATTTTTTAATTACTAAGAGTTCTACTGCCACTTGGTAGAATGTTTGCAAGTTCTTTTCACTGTAGAATATGGTGCTACATATAAATATTTGGAGTATATATTCACTAAAAATTTTAAGTCTAATACTTTATATTGTTATTATCCTCTTTTTTAAATTTAAGATAAGAGGAATAGAATAGAGATACTCTTTTAACTTCGAGAACACATGTTACAATTAGTACTTTCATCATATCAAATTAGATATAATTACAATCTAATATATGTTTATTTTAACTAGCAAAAGCTAGTATTTTATATTGGCTGTTATAATATAACATTATGAATGTATTAATATTTTGTGAAAATTATTTTTGTAGAAATGATGTTTGATATTTTTGATTCATCATTTTCTTTTGTTTTATATAAATATACTTGTTATGAGTAATATACCTTTCCAAATACATTTATATATCACATGACTGTAAAAATTATATATTTTTACTATTGAAACATATTACTCATTGTGTTATGTACATTTTATTAAAAAAAGTGTTTTAGAGTGAATTGTATTTGGTAAAGAATACATTCCTTATTTTAATACTATTTTATCATAACTAATATTTTGTATAATTTGGTTTTAATAAATGAAAGTAAAAAAGCATATATTTTTCAATATAAATTTATAATATGGATTGGTATATTAAAATATGCATTTGGAATTATATTAAATGATACAGACTAATTGTATACTACTATTAGTATATCATTAATACACATAATGATAATAAAGTAATTATTTATTATTTAAGTATTTATAGAAAGGAGATATATACAAGTATAGGATAAAATAACATGACATGTAAGAAACATAAAAATCAATGCTTATTATTTACCTGGATTTTAGAGAATTCTAATTCAAGATAAAAAAAGCATGAATAAGGTTTTGAAATAGAATTCGCAAAATTTTATTTTATGTTTTACATTTATGCATGTACAGTATTTTATCTATAATTAAATCATTTATCTTGGAAAAATAGTTTGTAGTGTGAAAATTTCAATTACAAAACTGATATTATAATACAAAATATAATACATATTTAGAAATTTGTATGCGAAATTCAAAAAGACAATTACTAAAGATATAATTACTGAAATATAATTATAGAGTAGCTTTTAATAATTATTTTCATAGCTTGCATCATATACTTATTATACAATTTAAATAATCATTAATCATATATGTGTTCATTAACTGCTATAATAATTGGATTACATATGTAATTTTTGTAGTTGGAAATTGATAAACTATACATAATATATACAATCAATTCTGTACACTGAATATATAATGGATGAAATGCATCAGAATTGTGAATAGTACACATTTAATACAAAATATATGCAACAGCACATAGAAATTTGTTCATAGATCAATGTTTCTGATAGCTCACGGTTCATAGAATTTTAACATGTTTTGTTAGAACATTGACAAGTTCCAGCTATTGTAGTTTGGATAAGTCCATATTGCCCTGTAAACATCCAACTTTCATCTTCCTTAAATAATTCCTCTGCTACACCTGGTACTAAACCAACACATACATCAGATTTTACAGTTCTCAAACTTAAGATATTTGTTGGATGAAACCCTCTTAATGATTGTCTAAATTCTGTTGTATATTCCCAATTTATATCACCTAGTAATTTCCTATAATTTAGGTCACCTTTGAATATTGCTAATTTAGCTTCCGATAATTTAGCATATAATTTTGAGTCACGTTTTTTCATCTCTGCAAAATCATAAGGACTTGTCCAATATAGTTCTACCTAAATAAGATATGGAAGATATTAATATTTTGTAATAATTATTTTTTTAAATTAGCGAAAAGAAAAGAAACAGATTACCTCAATAGACCATGCATTATTCTTCAAATAGTTAGCTAATTCTTGTATACTTTTATTTGGTGAATTTTCCATGTATGTTAGAGTCCAGTGAAAATCATTTGCTGTTGTGTCACTGATATACCATGGATAACGTTTTACATAAAACCTGATTTTTCTAGCAAGTTTACTTGCAATTAAGAATGCTGCTAAACATAAATCAGTAAAAAATTCATAACCTGCATTATCAAGTATTATATCTACAATATTTGTATCATCACTGTCTTTGTTCCTTAATAAATTCCAAACAAATTCTAAATTGTTTACAAGAATGTCTTTATCTAATGTCTTTAATACTTCTATAGGATTAGTATTTTGACTAACTTCTGCTCCTGCACTTAAAGATAAATCACATCTACAAAGAACATATTCTGATAAATTTGATGCCAGAAAACATGCAAAAAATTAAGATAGAAAATGGAGCAAAGGAAATAAAGCATACTTGTTACCCCAAAGATTTGATTTAAGAAGTTTAAAAAGTTCGTCTTTAGTTTCGACTATTGATAGATTTCCTACTTTATGTATGAGGTTCACAGTATAAGTAGAAAGTGCTTCTATGCTAGCCAATGAATTTGTAAATGCATTCTGTTTCTGTTGTTCGAAAGGATCATAGTTTCTCATAGATTTCCTGAAAATAAAAAGGTTCATATATTTGTATTACATACCACTGATTACTAAGTTTTCTTGGAACTTACAGGAGAGCAAATTCTTGTGCAAGTGCCCGATACATATAGCATTCGCAATATAGCCAAGAAGTATTAAACCATGTTGGTGTTCCTTCCTCTATTTCGGTTCTTTTTATGAGATATTTATTCCATTCTTCAGCATCATTGTCTTTACTATCGGGTAGCAATTGCAGAGGTTTCAAAGTTTTATTTGTTGCTACTTCATTTTTTAATTTACTGATAAATCCTGTTATTTGTTTAATTTCTTCTGTGGCATTCTAAACAGTTTAAAAGTTATAGACATTATACGTAAGTCACTAGACTCTATCAAATGAATCTTCAAATGTGTGTTTTACCTCTCCATATATTTCAGCAATATTTTCTTTGTTACGACTGAGAGTATCAATTATTTTTGTTAAAATTACTGGTAATCTATCTTTAATTGTTATATAAGCAAAGCTCCTGTAAGAAACATAAGAAAACATTAATAAACAATGGGTACATAAGTTTCAGAATATTTTTATTCCTAGGTTACATAGAAGTAAAAAATTTGTTCTACCTTTTATAGATTCCTGATAAACATACTCCAAAGGGTGTCTGTATATCTTGTAGATCTCGAATGTCTACGGAATTTGATCTTTGGGTCATGATATCACTATTCAAATTCGTTATTACTGTTAGACTGCAATAGAACACAATCAGCTGTGGCTACAGCGTGAACCCTGAAATGAATAGATACGAACAAACACCAACGATATCTCATATTTCTTCACAATTTTTGTTACGTAACTGTATAAAGATTGTCGTATACCTCGTGCTTTTATTTCTTTCAATCTTTGGTATGGCTATCGTTTTCTTTTTGGTATATTCTACGGAAATTAGACTATGATCAACAGAGAATGAACGAAGTATTACTATATGATTGTAAGCACGTGCAGTGCGCGTGCGTATGTGTTGCGGAATACTGTTTCGTCATCATTCATATACACATGCATACGTATGCACGTACCTCGAAAACGAGCAACGAGCGCGTAAATTGTTCCGTATTTGATAACACGCAAGCAGCATAATTTATAACGTGAATCGTAAACTGATCATAATTTATAACAGCTCATATGTATATCTCAAACAATAGAAATACCGGTATTTAATTTGAATTAAAATATTTAATTCTTAACATTATTAATATTTCGTAGAATTAATGACCAATTATTTCTTTTTTATTCCAGTATATTCTGGTAATTCTTTTTATTCTGGTACGATGCAATAGGTATTGTTCTCAAAATACTAAATTGCATTTTTATGTCGTAAAACTAAGATATATCTACGCATATATACGTATATATATGTATATATATGTCGGAGATGAAAGGACATCGGGGCCTTTCTTTTGGAATTTTTGGGAAGATCCCCAATACTTTAGCCTAGACTATTTATTATAGCTGTATTTAAATAATAAAACTTAGAAGTAATTGTTATGATTCAATCCGATTATGTTTGCCCGAGATTTGTGACATTGGGCTTAGGTTTGAGGTGACGCAACTGGTCGCCGAACGTAGCAACGGTCACGGAATGAAAGTTTTTACCTAGCAGAGAAGTCCCAATATTCCGTGACACACGTTGTATTAACAATCAAACCCCGGGCAGGAGCAATGTCACCTCTATGCGGGTCTGCCTAACAACTGCGGCTGGAATTTTGTTGGTATCCCCGACCAATATGCAACGAACAAACGCGATCGTAAGGAGAGGAAAGTTTCCATCAGTCTTTTATTCTTGCGATCACCTTGGAGAATTTTCACACCGTCTTTACGTGCAGTATTATACCGAGCGTCACAGCAAACGTTACTTTGTGCTTCAAAATATATTCTACGTTTAACAGAGAGTTACCCCGTTGACCGTGGATTCGTTATTGAACCTAAGAACATTGTCATTAACATCTCGAGTGTCT